AGATTTTCAAAATGGAGAAGAATTATTGCTATCAGATGCAATTTTTAATTTTTCAGTTGTTGAAGCATATTGTCCCTGCAAGCTTTTGTTTATGGAATGGAATCCCAGAATCTGACACTTACTGATCTTTTCCTATGAATGCTTAACTGGATTGGACGTACAGTAATCACACACTTGTATGTGAGAAAGTATTTTGGCTGAAATGAGATGATATTTCCAGGATCCTTCTGCCTGACTTTGCAAACGTGACAGGGACCAACTTCAGTTTTCCACTTTACATTATCCTGTCAAACCGAAAAGAACTATTCCTTCCCCTAATCCTGCCCCATCCTTTCCTTGTTGAAAAGAAATAATTGCTCAGGCTTAACAAAGGCAGAATGAAATTAACTACAGGCCTTGAAGATGCAGCTCCCTGGGATTAACTAAGGCATGCCTAATAAGGAAATTATACAAATTGCCTGATAGGGCCTAGTCCCATCAAATGTCCCATGGCTATTTACAGTGCCCTGCCACCTCTAAAAAGTGCAGTGTTTCTTGGCAATAAAACAGCTCACCTTATACAAACTTATCCAGTTTTCCATACAGTATATGGCAAGATCCTGACGTCAGATCAGAACCCTAGAATTTCCACCCCACAATTCAAAATCCTTATAAAAGATTTCCCTTTCTATTATTCTCTGTTCCTCTTCCTTTGTAAGCTGGAAGTGTGATCTTCCTCCTCAAAGGTGTACTCCATCTTCTGCATCCACGACAAAAGCAATATACAAATCTTTATTAGGACACATTCTGTGAGTGTAATTGTACAAAAGCTTAAATGTTATCCTTTTCCCGTCATCAAAAGTTGTTTGCAATCCCACATATGCTTTCTTTGATTCTCTTAAATGTCTTTTATTAGAAAGAATCTTACCAAGTTTGTTTCCCAGCCAGGAATAAAATACGCAGGCAATTGCTTGAATTAGAGGTGAGATTTACAGTATTTCCGAGAGCAAATGTACAGACTCATCTGTTGAGGTGGCCGCAGCGAGCCTTCCCCTTTAAGCCCTTTATATAGAGCAGGGTTCCTCAACCTTGGCAACTTTAAGACGGGTGGACTTCAACTCCCAGAATTCCCC